CTGCAACACTGGATGTGGCCAGTGGACCTCAGGCCAGGTCTTAAGTATAAATTCTGAGACATCCGTGCCTGTCCTGGGCACGTGCTCCACATAAGCTCAAGGTCCAGCTGGACCACAGGCTAGGGTTGTGGGAAAGAGATTGGGGCCCTGGAAGTCAGGATGAAGGCCAGTGGGCCAGGTCTTCTGTGCGGCTAGCTCAGGACTGGGGAGCATGACGTGGGGGGCTGTCAAGTGGGTGGAAGTCATAAGGGCCCCGGGAAGGTAAGGACAGAAGCAGTGAGACAGGTCCACCGTGCGAGCCTAGGGCTCCTTCTCACCCACTAGAATGTGGCATGTGTGAATGGTGGCTGTAAGGTCCTCCCCTGCTGGACTGGGCTGTGTCAGAAATTCTCTCTCTAGGCCTTGAATTCCAGCTGGAGGAAAATCACTGCAAGATCTTACCTCAGAGACCTGAGGCTGTAGGTGTTTCCTCTCTATCTTTTGCTCAAATTTTTTTTTCTTTCTGTTTCTTTTTTGCCCTTTATTTAGCTTGCCCTATCTTACTTATGTTTTTCTCATAAGCTACTTAAATCATTTTGAAAAACAGGGCAAGTATCATTTTGAAAAACAGGGAGAGTATAAATGGAAAGGAAAAAAGAGAAACGAATTTGTTTATAGAAAAACTATCTGGAGAAAGTAGGCTTTCAGTTGTGGGATGTTTTGTTTTTACAAAAGGCATTAATTTTTGGTGATAAGTTGATTATGCTCATGACGGACAACATGGGAAGTTTTTAAACACTAAAAAAAGATTGCCCATGATTGCATTATACAGACAACAACAATTGGTTTTTGGTATATTTGCTTTTCTTACATATATACATTAAAACTTTTTTTTTTTTTTTTGTCCTATAAATGGTATCCAGTTTCTTACTTAATATATATCATATGTAACATGGATAGTTTTCTTTGGCACTAGTAAGTCTTTATAAGGATTTAAAATACCTCAACCTTTCAGTTGGACATTTAGACACTCCCACTTACATGATCATAAATAACTCATTGACAAGAATCTCTGTTCATAAAGTTCTTGTCAAAGTTAAGATTTCCTTGAGAACAATTTAGGACTGGACTTGGGGGGAGAGGGCTGGGGTCAGCAGCAGTTGTCAGTGTGAGTGTGTGCTTGTGAGCATGTAAGAGCTGCATTTGTGATCACCCTGCAGAGAAGGACCCCGCCCCCACCCCTGCCTCCTCGAATAAATCAAGTGACTCATCCCCTCAATCTGTGGATCTCGTTGGTGGGATGATGGAGAAAGAGAAGAGGCTTCCCAGTGACTCATCTATGGCGCCTGAAATCCCTCTGACCCTTCAGCTGACCGGGGCCAGGCCCTTCAGGCCTGGTGACCAAATACCCGCCCATGTCAGGGTGGCCTTGGGGACAGCCGAGATCAGTGGAGCCTGATGAAGTGTTTATGACCCTCACGGCTGGCCTGCCCAGCACACAGCCCTGTGCTCAAATGTGCTCAGACCTGTGTATCATCCAGTTTGGCTGAGCTCCCTTCCAAGGCAGGCTGGGCTGGTTTTCTCCTCAGAAAGTCTAGTCAGTGGGGTCAGCCAGCGGATAAACTAAAGTTAACTTAGCTATTATTGCTTTTCTGTTAATGAGGGGAGGACCAGCTGTGAAGATGCCAAACCATTCAAAAAAGCTGCACAGTCCTTGGGATCTAAGGTTCAGGAGAAAGAGAGCAATTGACAATGATTTTAAATCCTGACTGGACTCCCCAGGGTTCCTTGTGCTTCACTGAGCTTTCATTTTACTATTTTTTTGAAAAATATTTTTCCTATGAAGATATGAATCTTGGAAGCCATGAGAAGTGCCCGTGATCTTGGACTCATCAGCGAGCCAGCACTGTTTACTGGATGGAAGCTCAGGGTGAAGTTAAGCCCCGAGGGTGGCGGAGGACAGGCTGGCAGGGGATTGTCACCGCAGCCCCGGGGGTCAGCTATGGAAAGACTAATGGCTAAGTACTCATCTTGCATGTCAGAGGGGATAGAGGGAAAAAGATCAAGACTGAGTTGTGGACTAGAGTGAGCAGGAACAAACCAACTCATTCTCCAAAAACAGACACTGGATATCCTGTGTGTTCCTGAGCCCAAGGACACCGACTTGTATCTTAAAATTCAACAGCCCACTAACATATCCACAGATGCTGTTCAAGGTGACCCCCTTTGACAAAAAAGCAGTATCTGTAGGAGTGAAACCTCTTAACTACATTTAAGGCAATGTAAAAAATGTTTAAAATGCTTTGAAGAAGAAAGATCTGAGATGTTCCCGCTATAAAGTAGTCTGTGAACCATCAGGCTGAAAGCACGGAAGCAAAAGATCCAAGAGCAAGGTTCTTTCAGTGTGACCCATATTCGCACCCTGCCTGCTGTGTGGCAGGCACAGTGGTTGGCCCTGGGGGACAGAGGTGTTTAAGACCAGATCTCTAGCCCCAAGGAGTTTGGTCATGGAGGGCACTTAGGAGGAGGATTCTGATCAAGGAGTCCATGTAAGGCCCAAAGAGAGCAGCGTTTGGGTTGGGCTTGAAGAGTGAGCACCATATTGATGTTCAGAGATGTGGGGAAGGGTCTGGAAGCAGGGGACACAGGAATGGGTATTAGTGGGCTTCTTGGGCAGAATTGTCTGTATGACTGCTGGGAAGAGGAAAAGGCAAAGCATGAATAGGAAATGGTGGGCCATTGCCAGGTTGTGGGGAGCTTCCACACTCATCTTAAGGAGTTTGGACTTTATTCTGTAGCTAATAGGAATCTATTGGAAGGTTTTTGAGCAGGGAGTTAATGTAATTTTTGAAATCAAAAGCAAACACATCAGTGCATGCTCATCAAAAGATTTCAGCTGTACTGAAGTCTATAAGCAAAAAAAAAAAAACAAAAAAAAAACTCCCCATCCTAAAGGTGACTACTCTCTTCTTCATGTCGTTTTATTTACCTACATCCATAGATATAGATACTTGTAAGAGCTGCATTTGTGATCACCCTGCAGAGAAGGACCCCGCCCCCACCCCTGCCTCCTCGAATAAATCAAGTGACTCATCCCCTCAATCTGTGGATCTCGTTGGTGGGATGATGGAGAAAGAGAAGAGGCTTCCCAGTGACTCATCTATGGCGCCTGAAATCCCTCTGACCCTTCAGCTGACCGGGGCCAGGCCCTTCAGGCCTGGTGACCAAATACCCGCCCATGTCAGGGTGGCCTTGGGGACAGCCGAGATCAGTGGAGCCTGATGAAGTGTTTATGACCCTCACGGCTGGCCTGCCCAGCACACAGCCCTGTGCTCAAATGTGCTCAGACCTGTGTATCATCCAGTTTGGCTGAGCTCCCTTCCAAGGCAGGCTGGGCTGGTTTTCTCCTCAGAAAGTCTAGTCAGTGGGGTCAGCCAGCGGATAAACTAAAGTTAACTTAGCTATTATTGCTTTTCTGTTAATGAGGGGAGAACCAGCTGTGAAGATGCCAAACCATTCAAAAAAGCTGCACAGTCCTTGGGATCTAAGGTTCAGGAGAAAGAGAGCAATTGACAATGATTTTAAATCCTGACTGGACTCCCCAGGGTTCCTTGTGCTTCACTGAGCTTTCATTTTACTATTTTTTTGAAAAATATTTTTCCTATGAAGATATGAATCTTGGAAGCCATGAGAAGTGCCCGTGATCTTGGACTCATCAGCGAGCCAGCACTGTTTACTGGATGGAAGCTCAGGGTGAAGTTAAGCCCCGAGGGTGGCGGAGGACAGGCTGGCAGGGGATTGTCACCGCAGCCCCGGGGGTCAGCTATGGAAAGACTAATGGCTAAGTACTCATCTTGCATGTCAGAGGGGATAGAGGGAAAAAGATCAAGACTGAGTTGTGGACTAGAGTGAGCAGGAACAAACCAACTCATTCTCCAAAAACAGACACTGGATATCCTGTGTGTTCCTGAGCCCAAGGACACCGACTTGTATCTTAAAATTCAACAGCCCACTAACATATCCACAGATGCTGTTCAAGGTGACCCCCTTTGACAAAAAAGCAGTATCTGTAGGAGTGAAACCTCTTAACTACATTTAAGGCAATGTAAAAAATGTTTAAAATGCTTTGAAGAAAAAAGATCTGAGATGTTCCCGCTATAAAGTAGTCTGTGAACCATCAGGCTGAAAGCACGGAAGCAAAAGATCCAAGAGCAAGGTTCTTTCAGTGTGACCCATATTCGCACCCTGCCTGCTGTGTGGCAGGCACAGTGGTTGGCCCTGGGGGACAGAGGTGTTTAAGACCAGATCTCTAGCCCCAAGGAGTTTGGTCATGGAGGGCACTTAGGAGGAGGATTCTGATCAAGGAGTCCATGTAAGGCCCAAAGAGAGCAGCGTTTGGGTTGGGCTTGAAGAGTGAGCACCATATTGATGTTCAGAGATGTGGGGAAGGGTCTGGAAGCAGGGGACACAGGAATGGGTATTAGTGGGCTTCTTGGGCAGAATTGTCTGTATGACTGCTGGGAAGAGGAAAAGGCAAAGCATGAATAGGAAATGGTGGGCCATTGCCAGGTTGTGGGGAGCTTCCACACTCATCTTAAGGAGTTTGGACTTTATTCTGTAGCTAATAGGAATCTATTGGAAGGTTTTTGAGCAGGGAGTTAATGTAATTTTTGAAATCAAAAGCAAACACATCAGTGCATGCTCATCAAAAGATTTCAGCTGTACTGAAGTCTATAAGCAAAAAAAAAAAAACAAAAAAAAAACTCCCCATCCTAAAGGTGACTACTCTCTTCTTCATGTCGTTTTATTTACCTACATCCATAGATATAGATACACAAAAGTCAAGCCCTAGACGTGGGAAGGAAGATGTTTCTATTATCTTCTGTGTTCTCTCCCTGCCCCCCATATCATACCTACCTTTTACTATTTAAAGTTACTATTTAAAGCTGGGACTGTAATCTAGGGAACTTGTGCTATGTCTTGTCACTCGGCTCATTTTGCTTTCTTCTCTATTATTTCAGATCATGGTTTTATTGGATATTCACCAGAACTGCTACAGAATAACACTCTGCCAGATTACAGCCCCGGAGAGTCCTTTTTCACTGTCTTTGGGGTGTTCTTCCCCGCAGCTACAGGTACTGGCATTCTTTTTCATTATCGTGTTAGGGATATAAGTAAATGCTTGGTTCCCAAAATGCAGTATCATAATGGACCTGCATGTGCTCTTAGGGTATATATCTGACTTTATAGATGGCCTTGGCTTTAACTACACATCTATTATTTTGACAGAGGCTCTATTTATTCATAATTCCTGAAGGCTCCCAACATGATTTGATCCTCCTTACCCCTTATACTTACATATTGATACCTCTTGGCCAAGTTAGTAGAGGGGACATATTTCTCTTAGGGCTAAGCAGGCTGGATTCCTCAGCAGGATAGCTGCCCTTTCCACCTTGTAGTGAGTGCAGACTGGTCTCTAATCTCCCCCTCCCCTACCCCAACCCATGTGTGTTCTCCCAGGGGGGCAGAGAAATGCTCTTATCCTCTTACCACTTTGGCTGTGGGTGGAATCAGGATCCCATGGGCAAGGACTGTGTCTCCTCTCCCACTTTCCCGTTCCATGGTAGCTGCAGAGGAGCCTTCCACAGCTGAGGTCCTGGTAGAATTCCTGTTGCATGCTCGGGTCCCAGGCCCAGAAGGTAGTAAGCTAACGTGTTGACCAAATGCTCCACAAGAAATAACCATTTACTAGGGACTGGGCTTGTTTCCAGAACACAGACTCAGAAAAACGTTTCTCCATCCAGGCAGTGTTGATGCCCTGGGGCTGATTTTGTCTCCTTTCCCTCTTCCCTCTGCCTTCCTCCAGAGAGAAGGGAGGAAAAGCTACTAGATTGTTGAAAATTTAAGAAACTGTCCCTATCAGATGTGGACAAGGATTTGGAGGAACTGGAACTTGCATACATTGCTGATGGGAACATAAAATAGGACAACCATTTTTGGAAAATGGTTTGACAGTTTCTTAAAAACCAAACATATACCCAGCCATTCCAATCCTGGTTATCTACTATTGAGGGGGAAAAAAAAGCTTGTATCCATATAAAGACTTGTATATCAAAGTTCAAAGCAACTTAGTCTGTTATAGTCCCAAACTGGAAGCAACTCAAATACTCATCAACAGGTGAATGGAGAGACAAATTATGGTATCACCACACAATATAAAACTACTCAGCAATTAGAAAAAGTGAACTATTGATAACTTGTGACAATGTAGATGACACTCAAAATAATGCTGCTGTGTGAAAAAAGTCAGGCAATAAAAGAGTTCCTTTTTAAAAAGATAAAATTATTTAAAAATCCATTTATATAAAATTCTAGAAAATGCAAACTACAGTAATAGGAAGCAGGTCAGTTAATACCTAGGAGTGGAGGTGAAGGGAGCAGGAGGGAGGCCAAGGAAATTTTGGGGGATGAAAAAATGTGTTTTTCACTGTGGTGATGGACTCACAAGTGTGTTCTTATCAAATTTTACGTTCTGGTACACTTTAAACCTGCAGCTTATTGTATGTTAGTTATACCTCAGTAAAGCTGTTAAAATGTGGGAGGAAATTCCTGACTGTAGTCATATTTAACAGCTTTCCTGAATCCCGTTTCTCCCTCTGGCCCCCGCCCCTTTCTCTCCCCTGCACAGCCACAGCCTCTGCCCTCCCAACCTCTTTCCTGCCTCCTGCTCTACTTGTCCACTCTCTCCTTTTGGAATTCCAGGCCTGTCTCTCCAGTGAAATGGTTCTTTCCAAAGTCATCAGTGGCTTCCACTCAGTTCAGTGGGTACTTAAAATTTCTCAGTGCATTTGATCTCTCAGCTGCGTTCCACTTTCTCCTTCATTTCTCGTACCTTCTATGATGTAGCACCCTCCTCTGACCCACTTGATCCTCTTCTGCCTGTCCATTCCATGTTGGGGTTCTTCAGGCTGTACCTACTGTTTCCCTTGGGATCTCATTCATGCCCATTGTTCAGGGACTACCCACAATGCTGGCCATTCCCAGATTTATGCCTCCAGCCCCGACTTCTCTAAGCTTCACATTGTGTATTTAAGTGCCTACATGACACCTTCTCTTGGTATCCTAGACTCAACATGTTCAGAACCCAGTCCATCCCATCAGCCCCAACCGGTTCTTCTTCTCCACTCCTGATTTCAGGGATGGCACCCTCATCCCCCCAATTGCTTGAGCTGGTAATGGTGAGTTACTTCTGACACTTCCTCTTGCCAGGCTCCTCTGTCCATGGGATTCTCCAGGCAAGAATACTGAAGTGGGTTGCCATTTCCTCCTCCAGGGGGAATCTTCCCGACCTAGGGATCAAATCCATGTCTCCTGTGTCTCCTGCATTGCAGGCAGATTCTTTACCCACTGAGCCATTGAGGAAGCCTCTTCCTTACCAGTCCCCTCCAAGTCCTGTGAATTTTACCTCCGAAATTTACTCGCCTTTACTCTCGCTTCCCTGTCTCTACCACCTGACCACTCTGCCCCAAGCTTCATTTCTCAGCTATGTAACTAAGGCAACTCCGAGTTGACACCCTTCCTCCCACCCCCCCCATCCCCCACTTTGAGGCTTGGTTGCAGGAAGGAGGCTGGAGCTAGGCCTTAGTGATGGCAGGTAGCATGCTGTTCTACAATCCAAGTGTGCCAGAAACAATGCGTTTCTTTCACCTTAATGAAATGGAAAGAGTTGGTCTCTGACCCTAAGCCTTCAGTCTGCCAGGGTGGCTGGAAACTGATGTCAGTCATTCATCACGCCTCTGCCTCGCCCTGTCAGGTCTCAGGGTCTTACTAAGTACCAGGGCATGTCAGAGGCTCTGGCTGTTCATCATCTGTGCTCAGAGCCAGGCCCTCCCACAGTCCTGTCTGCAGATCCCTTTAGGTTTATGGTCTCTGCTGCTTCTGAGCCACTTTGGGGATGGAAAGTTTGCTGAACCTGGGAACCACATGCCTAGAGTCTGTGTACCTCTCAGACCCTCTTTCCTGAGGTCTTGCTGGATCCCACTGGTGCTGCCAGGGAGTAGGCCTCAGGTCCCGTTGTTCAAATCCTGTGGGCCTTTCTCTTCCTGCCCCAGCGTGAGGGGCAATCTTCTGTTCTAATACGGGGGACATTGCTGTCCAGGGCCAGCTTCGTGAGCATGAATTTATGCATTCACACTTGGTGGTAAGCTCAGAAGGACCCCACACTTGGTTTAATGCTTTGCTGTTGCTAAAATTCTTAATAATTTTTGAACAAGGGACCCTACATTTTTTTTTTGCACTGGGCCTTATAAACAATGTAGCAAGTAGATTTTGTCCCTGCCACGCTCTCCCCAGTCACTCTGCAGACCTCCTCAGTTCAGTTCAGTTCAGGTCAGTCGCTCAGTCGTGTCTGACTCTTTGCGACCCCATGAATTACAGCACGTCAGGCCTCCCTGTCTATCACCAACTCCTGGAGTTTACTCAAACTCATGCCCATCGAGTCGGTGATGCCATCCAGCCATCTCGTCCTCTGTCGTCCCCTTCTCCTCCTGCCCCCAATCCCTCCCAGCATCAGGGTCTTTTCCAATGAGTCAACTCTTCACATGAGGTGGCCAAAGTATTGGAGTTTCAGCTTCAGCATCAGTTCTTCCAATGAACACCCAGGACTGATCTCCTTTAGGATGGACTGGTTGGATCTCCTTGCAGTCCAAAGGACTCTCAAGAGTCTTCTCCAACACCATAGTTCAAAAGCATCAATTTTTCGGCGCTCAGCTTTCCTCACAGTCCAACTCTCCTAGACCCTCTCAAATCTCCTAAGGGCCCAACATTTTGAGAAACAGAACCCAAAACAATGTGAAAAGTCTGCTTCTTCCCTGCCACGTATTTCCTCCAAGACAATAAAATAAAGGTCATGTTCCTTTTGAATGGACAGAAAAGGAAAGGGGGAGGGGATGAAATACACAAAGAAGAAAATTTTTGAACATTTTTGACATTAACATCTGAAAATATTTTCTAGCCCCTTCTACTCCCCATTCCCCCACAACTTGCCCCTCCCCCACACATTCAAGAGGCTTCCCACCTGAGCGTTTGCTTCCTTGGGCCTGGCAGGGAGTCCTGATGCCAGGTCAAATCCTTGCTTGCAGATGCCAGGTTAGCAGTTCCAGCTGAAGCAGGGCCGTGGTCCTTTGAGGCAGGCAGTACCACCAGGATGTTGCCTCATGTGCGTGACCCTATCAGGTCCCCTCCCAGCTTCTCGCATGGCTTCCCTCCCTTTTATTTGCAGGCCTTGCATCTTGTAAGAGAGGGAATGCCTGGCCTGAGTGAAGGGCCCGGGATGACGAGCCTTCCCTCTGGTGCTTCACCCTTCAGTAAGGAATCAGCAGTGGCCTGAGGTTGAAAGATACCAGCCCAGAATTTGAGCTGGACTACCATTTGAGATCAGCCAGTCCAGCGATTCTCAACTTTTTATCTTTTAATCCATGTTCGTTTTTGTTAATCATACTGAAAACCTTATTACACTGGAAATTCTGTGCCTCCCTGGACCAGAAGGAGTATCTTGGTCCTTTCTTTGAGAAAGATTCTACCTAAGAAGATTAGCCAAGCTTCTTTATTTTCTGTGGCTTAAATTATGAAGGTATTGTTTGGTAATATTCCAAATATAAAATTATAATATTGAACAAACTGTCTACACAGACCTCTTTTACCCCACGCCTCTTAAGGGATGTGCTTTTCTGCCTCCCTGACACCCCCGGCCCCTTCCCCACCCTCCACACCCCCGTCTGGGCCCAACCAAGTTGAGAATCACTGATCTGGGAAATGAGCACAGAGGAGTTTATGAAGGGTTGCGGAAGATCACCCAGCTAATTAGTGACCAGAGTTGTGAGGAGAAACACACTGACTAAAACTGCCTACTCTCATCAGGCACCATAGTAACCATTCCTGTGAGTTATTTTACAATAGGAGGTCCCGGTAAGAAATACGGAACTAAAAAGCCACCAGCAACCAGTAGAATTTGGGAAAGATCAAAAGGAGATACTCATGTCCCACTGACCTCCCAGAATCCTCCTTGTTAGAATCCATCTTGGCTGAGCATGTGTGCACCACCAGGAAGGGCCCTGAGTCAGAATGATTGGCCAGA